TAGATCAGGACAGTTTTCACATGTGATTTCTTGAAATATAGCCAGGCTAAAAAAAAAATTATGGTTTTCAAGGGGTCCATTAATTCTTAAATTATATTTCCTTGACCTTTCTCCCAGGTCAGTTATTTTTTATATCAATCTTCTAATTTTTTTCAATCTTTTGGCTTTGTTCTAATATTCCTTGCTATTTTATAGAGTCATTGATTTTTATTTGTCTAATTTTCAGAGTTCATTTCTTTGATAAGATTTATTAATTTATCTTCTAAACTGCTTATTCTTCTTCCATTTCTTTTCCCAATAGCCTTTCTGTATCTCTCTCTTTAAATTTCTTGCTTAATTTCTTCTAGGTATTCACAGAGTGTTCAGGGAAAATCTATTTTTTCCTTTGAGTCTCTGCTTGAAGTTATGATGATTCTTGTACTTTTTCAGAGATCTCTAGATTTTCAGTCATTTTTGATATTGATTGGTGTTTTTGATTTTTCATCTTTCTCTTCTTATCTCTCCAGCTGTAGCTTCCGAATTGGAGTTTTGTTCCAGGGCCAGTTTCTGCTCCTTGCTACACTTTTAGATAGGGTAGTTGACTCCATTTGATGTCAGTCTGGGTTTCTCAGGGACCTGTGCTGACCTCCACCTGGGAGTGGGTGTCCCTCCTGGATCTTTGAGGTTCAGAACATTGGATCTTCATGGCTCTCTGTGACGGCTCAGTATAGACTTCTAGGGATTTCTGAATCCTTGGTTCTGGGTTATCTAAGCCCGACGTCTGTGGGCTGCTCAGGTCATGACTTCTCCCTGGTGCTTTCTGAGTTGGCCTAGTCTTCTTCACATAACCCTGTACTCTAAATCAGTTTTTCAGTGGTGCAAGTTGTGTTTTGGCCTTAGAATTTTCTTTGCTTCCTTTTTTCTTTGTGTAATTGCCAGCTGGGACTTGACATGGTTCCTTACTGTGGTCCTGATAGGCCCCAAATCAGACTGCCTATATTGACCCCTTGTATTTTATTGCTCAGGTGCACATAGCACCTGTCTCCTGCACAGGCGGCCTGGTTCCTACACTGGTACTATCTCCTGCTGGGGCTCCAGAGCATGTCTCCTTTGCTTATCCGTTGTCGGAGCATCTATAAACTTCTGAACATCTTTGTGCAGTATTGTACTGTATGGGGAAATGCCTGGGCATTTAATTTTGGTTTTTAAAAAAATCACTGTTCCTTCCGGTGTATTTTTAGCACTTTATTGTAGCATTTGCAGGAGAGCTGGCTCCTCTAGGACTTCTCATGTAGCCATCTTAACCAGAAGTCAGTAGATTGTGAATTGAAGTCTTTTTAATAAACTACATGATTTTGACAGTTAACCAGGCACTGCTTGTATTCTACACTTATGAGAATCAAAGATAATGAAGATTTCGAATTCCTTTTTATATTGCAGAAAGAAGAGAGATTGAAGAACTGAAAACAAGTAGTCTACAAGGCAGTTCAGATTTATGGTTTAATATTTATAGATTTATAAGGTTTTTCATTTCTAAATTATGCATTTCTGATATTGTAAACTGCTAGTTTGGCAGACTGTTTCAAAAGATAGAATGCCAATGTCTTGCTTGTTGAATTTTTAGCCTCATTACATCTGTTTTAAGTTCTTGGTTATTTGAAAGTAGTTCTGTAATGCTTACCATTTTTGCTAGTTTGACATTACGTAACTCATCTAACACCAGGCAATTAAGAATATGTATTGAGAGTCAAAAGTACCATTTACAATAGGTCTGGAAAGAATTTCTTAACTAATTCCTATTTAATTTGCTCAAGACATCCATCAGTTGCAAACTGGCCATTGGCTTGATGTGTGAAAGGCAGCTGTTTTCATACTTGGTACATTAGCATAATTTCTTTGGATAGACCTTTAGAGAGATCAACTAGTCCCAACCCCACATTTCACAGATGGGGATACTGAGGCCTCCATAGTTAAAGTGACCTGCCTCCTGTTGAAAAGGCAGGCATTGGCATTATCAGTACTAGAACATAGCCCTTCTTGTTCCCAGTGCAGTCTGTTTTTCACCATACTAGGCTGCCTTTTATTTCTAAAACTAGAGTCATTTACTATCTCTTCTCTAAAAAAAATAAACTGTGATTTCATCCGTCTGGATATTTGCTTTGCAGATCACAGCCTCCCCACATTTTAGACATTGATTACCTAACCTTCCATCTGTAGGCCTTTTTTGTATATGGTGAGGCTTGCCCTTTGCTGACAGAAACAACAGAAACTACCAAATGATCTTGGTAGTATTTCGCCTACTGGCTCACATTTATGTAGATTAATGTTTGAGAGCCACTTTACATATGTAATTTCACAACAATCTTGTGAGATAGATCCTCTTATCATCTTTATTTTATAGATGAAGAAGTTAATTGATTTGCCCAGAGACATATAGCTAGTAAGTATGAGGCAGGATTGGAAACTAGATCTTCCTGATTCTTACTCCTGCACTACCAGGGCTTCTGTTCTTCTTGCATAATTTTCAAGAATTCATGATCACTTTTCTGTCACAGTGAAGTATCAGAATAAGATTTTACTGCAAAACCATTTATTCATTTTTTCATTTACTTTAATTTTTTAACCTAAATTTTTAAAAAGATGTCTTTTGTTTTTGTCACCTTCATTTTCAGTTATATTCTTCCCTCTTCTGCTATCCAGAGAACCTATTCCTTGTAACAAAGAATAAAAAAGAATGAGAAAACAAAACATTTAGGCTAAATTAACCAATGTATTGGTTAAGTCTGAGAGTATATTTGATGTTCCACACCCATAGGCCCCTACTCTAGCAAAGAAGGGTTGGGGGGGTGCATTTTTTCCCTTCTTTGGAGCCAACTGGGACCAGTTAAAAAATAAATATATATATTTTCAATTAACAAATAAATATCCCTTTTATTTCCCTCTCACCTCCCCCCACTTACCATTGGAAAAAGAACAGGAAACCCTTGTAACAAATATACATAGTCAATTCAGACAAATTTCTTCATTGGACACATGTAAAATCCACCCCCCCCACCCCAATCTCATTCTATATACCTTGAATCTATAACCTCTTTATCAGGATGTGGGTAGCATGCTTCTTCACCAGTCTTAACAGAATCATGATTAGTAATTGTGTTGTAAAGAATTCTTATGTCTTTCAAAGTAACGTGTCTTTACGATGTTGTTATTGTAGAAATTGTTTTCCTGGTTCTGTTCATTTCACTCTGCATCAGTTCGTACATGTTCTACCAGGTTTTTCAGAATTTGTTCTCTTAATCATTTCTTACAGCATAATACAGTTCTATCACATTCATACATCATAACTGTTTCAGCCATTCCAAATTGATGGGTACCCCCTTAGTTTCCTGTTTGCCACCACAAGAAAAGCGTCTATATTTTTGTATATATGGGGACCATATATTTTATTATTTATTTTTATTTTTTTCTTCCTCTTTCTGATGACCTTCATCCACTCTGTATATATCTTGCCTTTGCCTAATTATTTGCATATTATCTCCCCCATTAGACAGTGACGTCCTTGAGAGTAGGGACCTCGTTTTTGCCTTAACTTGCATCCCTAACACTTGGTACAGTGCTGGGTGCCTAACAAAGACCTGCTGACTGACTGCCCACCTAGGGCCCTTACAGCTCTGACATTGGGTGCATTAGATGCCAGAAAGAGTCAGAATTCTCCTCTATCTGGAAGTGAGGCAAGCCTAGAAGGGTTGACTTGCAGATGAGCTGAGAGAGAGAGAGAGAGAGAGAGAGAGAGAAAGAGAAAGATGAGTTCTGCCCTCCTTGGACTTTTTCTGTGCTTTTCTGTTCTGTGTTTTCCATTATGTCGTAATGAGGTGATTAACTTTGCTCCCCAGTACTATAGGAGAGGCAGCATTAAGCAAAGGACTAGTCACAGTTCGGGGACCATATATTTTAAAGAGTGAAATTCTTCTTAAAGCCTGAACTTTTCAATACCATGCAACACTTCACCTGTTTCTGAGAGTGAACATTTTCATAAATGATAGTTACTCTTAGTTGGAAGAAAGCTTGAAAATAAACATAATCCTTGTAGCCTTTGGGGCAGGTGACATAAACTGGTTTGGTATTTTTTGAATAAAGATAAAAGGTAAAGAGAGCACTGGAAGAAAAGGAGAAGTTTTATACAGTAAGAGAAGTAGTGTTTGAAGAATAATAATAGTGAACAGTTATTGAGTACGATTTTTATATTAACTCTAAAGGACCTGTGAAGGAATGTGCTGTTCACCTCCAGAGGAAGAACTGACAAATGGAAGTACTTATAGTGTAGTTCTACATATATTTATAAATCTGCATCAAAAGGTGGCTTTCTCTAGTGTGAGGTGAGGAGGGGGGGAGGGAGACAGTTCAGAACTTAAAATGTAACAAAAAAATAAAATAAATTACATAAAAATTAAAAAAGTGTAAGTTAAACATATAGAAACTGGCAAACTATTCCAACTTTTTTGTTTACATCTGATTTATGAACCCTCTATTTTTTTTCCTGTTTATGGTCAGTATGTGAGCTTTTTGAGGTTTATACCCTTTCTAGTTTTCAAAAATATTTATGGTAATTTGAGTTGTGGGTGTATATGTATGGTTCCTATACTTTCTGAGGCAGGATTTGAACTCAAGTGCCCCTGACTCCAAGGCCAGAGCTCTATCCACTGTGCCACCTAGGTGCCCCGGGTTCCTATACTTTCAAAGTTGTGTGATGTTGGGAAAATCCTTCATCTTCCTGAGCCTCAGTTTCTCCTTCTACAAAGTGAGCAATATAACACTTGCACTACTTCTTTCACAGGTTTGTTATGAGTAAAGAACTTTGTAATTCTTAAAACTTAAAATTTGAGTTTTTATATCCATTAATAAGTGTGCATTTACTATAATGTGTTATTTAACAGAAAATGCTTTGGTGTGTCATGATGTGGCAACAGATTTCATCTATGAAATGCATGATATAGTTTTGTGTTTTGCTCTCTATTATACAGATGAGTGGGGAAGCCCAGGAACTCTTCTCTGTCCGACATGGCCCAGTTCGAGCTGCTCGGATCTTGCCAGCCCCACAGTTTGGTGAGTATTAGTCTTTAGAGAATAAATAATTGAGAAGGTGTTTCTTGTATTTACCTTTTGACTTATGACTAAATCATTGCCAAATTCTTCTGCTTCATGGTCAATGGACTCCATTAACTGGCTTTGGTTTTATTGCATAGTGTACTCCAACAGCCTCTGCTTTCTCACAGCCTCTTCCATCTTCTACTTTGTGTATTTCCTTCTGTACTTATGCAACTTTGTCAGCTCATAGTGTGCTCACTTCCTTTTTCTGCTTGTCAAATTCCTGCTCATCCTTTAAGACTTTGTTAATGTCACATATTCTCCATCAAACCTTTCTCTTCTGTTCTAGCCTAGTATAGTTTTGTCCTTCTCAGAATGACTGTTATTTTTGCAATTTATTTTTGATAGTTCAGCTCTTAGTTATTTCATGCTCATCTGTTTTTCTTTCCTTACAGCTGTATATAAATTCTTTGAGGTCAAGGAGGTTTTATATTGTTTCTGTTTTTGTTAGAGCCTGTATGGTACTGAATATAGTAGCTATTGAATAGGTACTCTTACGGATTAGTTTATTTTACATCTTAGACACCTTTCAGTTTGCATATAAACTGAGCTCCTTCTCTTAAGATCTTAATTATAGAAAAGTGAGGCTTAGCTTGTGGTGTTAGGAGTGTACTCGGGGCTTGTGATCTGTGTTCTCTGCTCAATCTAAAATTTGTTTATTTTAAAAGATTTATGTCTTTATTAGTCTAGCTAGATTTAGGTTGATTTTTAAAGATTAAATCTAGATTTAATTACTTTAATCTATTGTTTGCATTTACAAACCTATGGAGTTTATAGTCCCATAATGCTTAAGATAAATTATGGTTATTGTTTTTCTCATTAGCTTTTCATTATATTTCCTATTTTTAAATATTCTCTGATGATATAGAAATCAATCTTATTACTCTAATTTGGATGGTTTGCAATATTTCTCTGGGAAATCTTGCATATTTTTTATTCTTCTTTATCTTTTCATATATGGTAAATATGCTTAATGGGTTCTAATTAAGGTCCCTTTCAGACCTTAATTCTTCTCTTAAATTGCAAGTATGATGTTATTCAAAACTACTAACATGTATTTGTGTTTTGTTAGTTAATAAGTTTTAAATTTAAGGGATTTTAGGTTACAGATAAAATCTGTTTTTAATGAAACATGAAGAGAAAGGCCACCCATGAAAATTATTCTTGAAGTTTGTTATGATTTTTCTTTGCTACTGAACATTTACTATTTGGAGAGCCTATGACTAAAAGTGTGGGGTTTTTGTAGAATATGTTTACAAATTAGTTTCTAGAACATCTTTCTCTGCAGTGTTTGAAGCATGGTATAGCTATGTTTCTCTTTAGAATGGTTTAAATACTTCATCTTAAAAACAGGAAGAGGGCCTTTATGAATTCTCCAAGGTTGCTGTTGGAGTTTTGGAATCTCTGGTGTAGGATTCAGACAGGCAGACTTGTCCCTCAGGCACATTCTGAAAATTGGTATGAAATTTAGAGTGGAGCTTTGCAAAGGTTGTTTTAATTACCTCAAGTTTAGTGCTCTTTATTTTGTTTGGCTTATATTTTGCACATGCAAACTAACTTTTCTTTGGAGAAAATCAAAGCAAAATGAGAGAATTACTGACAATTAAGTGTTTGACTTAGAGTACATTGTATTCACGGGGTATTTTGGTATACACATTGTGTCTTTTGGGAAGATTGTACCTTTTTCTTTGATGTAAGTGTAGTCTTATTTTAAATGTGTTGAGTCCTGTATGAAATAAGGAAATAGAAAAGAATTATACATTTATAACTTCATAAGCAAGTCTGAGTATTGCTCAGGGGTATTGTATCGATCTTAACCTAATAGTTTTATTATACTACTTGTGACTAGCCGGAGTTTAAACTTGCACAGTCCAAAACTGTGGGGGATAGAATAATAAAATTGTGTTTAAATGATCCACAGTTGAGATTAAATTGATTTTTATGAAAAACTTCCTCATGTAAGGGTGATTAAGTCCATATAATAGCAATTAGGAACCTCTCTATCCTGCAAATCTTTTGGGATAAGAATAAAAATGATCATTTTTGTTTCCTTGGAGGCAAGTAGTTGGCCAGCTGACAATTTTAGGTCCTATTTAAAATATTTTATAATTCCATTGTTTGAAAATGCAATCATAAGGGATCAGAGGCAATATGTTTCTGTATATTAATGAGTTATTTCACCATAATTGTTCCTCTTTTGTGCCATTGCTCAGCAATTCCTGTAGGTTGACTGGAGAAGTTAATTCTGCTCCCCATTTGGCTGTTTGATCTTATCCTAAAGTTGTGAACTGAGAGGCAAGCTGCCCTCTCAAATGTGGGTATTGTGTTGTCTTCCTTCTCTGGAAATCCTGTAGGCTATATTGTAGCTGAGGCCTTGGCTAGAATGACTGTTCTGTCCTCTGTAGAAAGATGATGCCCTTTGTGCCACCCAGAGACATTTTGTAGACTTTTCCTGACCAGGTGGCTTGACACAGGTACACTAACATCATTTGAAACTGGTATCCTCAACACTGTTCTCATCCCTTGATTCAGCATCTTTTTCCTTAGTTACTTTGTATTTTCAAAATTCATTAAAATACCTACTTCCACTTTTAACTTAAGAATCCCTAAAGCTTTCTTTCTTGAAGACTAAAACTTTATTTTTAGTACATTGTCCAGTTGTTTCATAGTAACATGAGGTGTTATATAATTAAACTTCTTATTGTTAATTTGTGTATAAAATCAGGTTGAAGTGGTACATTTGACAGACTGACTTGACGGTCCAAAAACATCAATAACCAACTTAAAGTTTTTCTAAGCTTTGAAAACTTAGAATTCCATTTGGAGTCACTGGAACTTTGTTATTGGGGAAGGATGGAAAAAGACCAGAATTTTCGCCTCTGGCTTGAAATGTGCAGGTTTCTTGGAATTACAGTTACAATCTCATTTTTTTTTTAATCCTTATGACTCAGATGCACTGTTTCGGATGAGTCTTACAAATCCAAGGTCTTTTTTGTTCTGAGTGGAAGGGCAGTTTTCAGATGGATGTGGTCTGTTAAAACTCCTTGTGCCAGATTTCTGGCATCCAGCTGAAAACCTTGGGCAACAGCAAACTTGGCTCATCCTTCTATCATGTTAAGATATTGTTCCTTGCATCAAAGTTAAATTTACTTTAGGTTCCATCCAAGCAGGACATTCACACCATTACTTCTGAAAATGATCAAGATTTGTGAGAACCTTAAAAGCTTACTTTTTGGGGGAGAAAAATGTCAAGTATTTTCTGAGGCTTTTAATACTGTAAACAGACCACCCATGAACCAACTCACAAATATCAATTGTTGCTACTTTTTCTTATATAAAAGCCTGACATTTGTTTTCCCAGAAATAAGCACAAGTAGAGCAACTTTAAAGTTGTTAGTCAATGTTAAACTTTTTCCCCTTTTGCTTATTTTTTGGTAACTTTTTAAACAAAGTGACCTTTCCAGTTGTTGGGTTTTCAGCATTTTTCATAATGTACAAATAGCCCCCTCCTCCTTTGCAGATGACTTAAATGTGGTTTTATCAAGTCCTGAAAACAGCTGTCTGATTTACTCAACTATATTGTTTCAGAAATTCTGAGTAACCCCCCAGAAGGGTTTTCTGTAAAATTTAAGCAACTATGTATAAACAAGTGGATCCTTTAAAAAACCAAGACTGCTCAAACCAAACACAAGCAATCCCCTAAAAGAACACTAGTTTAGATTTGCTTACAGTCATCTCTATTACATTTGAAAATTGGGCTTTTCTATTTCCAGAAGCAAAAAAAAAAATAATCACTGACATTTTGTCTTGCTTATTGAAGAGGTATTATGACTGTGTGTAGTACTAACTCTTCTTCTTTTCTACCTCTTTCAGTTTTAATTCCTTTTTGGGATTTATTCCGTTATACTCTATCTCTAGGATTAAGGCCCTGTGGTTCCTTCTCTATGATTTATATGATTTGTACAAAGTGCCATTTGGGAATACGTATTTTTGCTTACCTTCAGTTCAGGTTGTTGACCTGGAGTGCTATGGGGGGAATATGCCTGCATCATTGCATTTTAGAGGTGGTTGGCAGTCTTTTTAGTATTGGGTAAAGTTGTCATGGGTAAAGTCACAGTGCCCAGTATGAGAAATTGTTCTGAAGGGAATCTCCCTAGCTCCAGCATATTACTGTACCTTGCATGAAGGTGCTGCCTAATGAGAGCTGAAGTAGTTTTTTTATTGAAAGAAAAATGTAATTCAATTCAATTCAAAACATTTTTAAAGTACCTAATGTGTGCTAAGGATACAGAGACAAAAATAAAAACAGCCTGTGCTCTCAAGAAGCTTATTATGGAGGTAGAACACCAGTATACACTCATGCATACACATAAAAATATAATAAAAATAATTTCTCTTGGTTGGGGGTGGAGCTCAGAAATTGGGAAGAGTAGGTCAGGAAAGAGCCTTGTTTTGAAGGAGGAGATTAAACTGTGCCTTGAATTAATTGACTAAATGATTTACCCAGTAATATTGAATAAGACATTGATGTCACTATTACCAAAACACAGGAGCCTAGATTCTCATTTCTACCCCTTTGACCAATAGGACAACATACTAGTAATTTATTTGACAATTCAATATACTAGATTCCTCCAGATCTTTCACAGTATGTCATAAATTGTTATAATATCTTAGTTTTATTATTTTCACCACATGCTTTTGATTGATTCAATGTCTTCAATAATCAATTGATTTAATAGTCTTCAATAGATTCAATAGTCTTTAATAAGAAATAGTAATGTGAGAACACATAAATTGATGAGCATTGAAAATGAGCATAACCAACAGAAGGACTCCCAGGTAGAAAAGATTTTTGCCTTGGGTAGATTGGCCAGCTGGCTATGTCTCAATTCCATTTATTTTCTTTATGGTGCTTGATTTAGCCATTTCAAAAAAGTTAGTTACTATGTAACACA